CTTAGTCCCATTCCCCTGCCTTGTCCAAGTGAACCTGAACATTGCTCCTTTTCAAGTAATTGTCTAATTCCCCTTCAACAGCGTCAGTTAAATCCTGTCTTCACCACACTCTCAGGCAGTGCATTCCAGGTCCTAAACACTCACTATGTGAGAAAAGTTTTTCCTCATGTCTTATTTTACCAATTTACTTTAAACATGTGCCCTTTCATTCTCAAGCCTTTCATGAATGGGAACGCTTTCTCCCTGTTTATTCTGTCTAACCCTCACATTATTTTGAACAATTCAGTCAGATTTCCTGTCAGACTTCTCTTTCTTGAAGGGGAACAATCCCAGCTTCTCCAATCTATCTCCATAACTGAAATTCCTCAGCCCTGGACCCACTCTTGTAAACCTTTGTCTGCATTCTTTTCAATGGCTTCACCATCCTTCCTAAAGTACAGCACTAGGACTAGGCAAAATGTTCCAGCTAAGCTGAGCTAAGTGTCTTGTATTAGCTCACTATGACCTCCTTGATCTCACAAGCTTTGCCCCTATTAATAAAGTTTAGGGTATTCTAACCTGTCCTGCAATCTTTAATGACTAGTGCACAGATACACTCACGTCCCTCACTCCTGCACCTACTTTAAACACGCATCTTTTATTTTGTGATTTTGTGTTCTTCTGACCAAAATGTATGGCCTCGCCTCTCCCCACTTAACTCCGTCTGCCATCTTTCCAGCTGCTCTTTTGAACTGCATTTGCACAGTTTACAATACTGCCTTGTTTTTGTATAGTTTGTATGTTTTGAAACGTGTGCCAAAGTCTAGAAAGATGTTAATATTTGGAAAAACAAGGGGCCCACCACTGATGCCCAGAGAACTGAACTGCAAATCCTCCCCTGAAAAGCGTTCATTAATCATTACTTTCTGTTTGCTGTCTCTCAACCACCTTTGCCTCTATGTTGCAACTGCCCCTTTAATTCCCCGTGTTTTAGTTTGGCTCCCATGTCTTTTGTGTGGCACTTAAATATTTTCTGGAAGTCAGATCAACAGCCTTTGTTACATCATCTAAAACCTCCAGTAAGTTCAATAAAAATGACTTTCCCTTATGTAACCCGTGCTGGTTCTCCTATAATGTCCACGTGACTGCTGATTACATTCTGAAATATTGTGTCAAGAAATTTCCCAACTACTGATGTTAAACTAACCAATCTGTGGTTAGTTGGTCTATCTTTACACTCTGTTTTGAACAAGTGCAGAACATATGCAATTCCTCAGTCCTCCGTCACCATCCTTCTGTGTCCAAGGGGAAATTATTGCCAGTGTCTCTGTAATTTCTGCTCTCTCTTCCCTCATTATACTTACAGTCATTGAGTCATAGAGCTGTACAGCTTAGAAACAGACCCTTCTGTCCAACTCATCCATGCCGACCAGATATCCTAAATGAATCTAGTCCCATTTGCCAGCATTTAGCCCATATCCCTCTAAACCTTTCCTCTTCATATACCCATCCAGATGCCTTTTACATGTATTAATTGTACCAGGCTCCACCACTTCATCTGACAGCTCATTCCATACACACACCAGCCTCTGCGAGATAAAGTTAACTCCTCAGGTCTTTTCTAAACCTTTCCCCTCTCAGCTCAAACCTATACCCATCTAGTTTTGGATTCGTCCACCCAGGGGAAAAGACCTTGTCTATTCACCCTATCCATGCCCCTCATGATTTTAGAAACCTCTATAAAGTCACCCCTCAGCCTCCGACACCCCAGGGAAAATAACCCTAGCCCATTTTGGATGCATCTTATGCAAAACCCTCATGGGTTATGAGGTGGGTGGGGGCGTTATAGGTTAGAATAGCTTGCATCAAGGGATGTGGCAATTGTTAGGATGTGTAGATTGGCATCGGGTACAAGGGATTATGGGGGTGAGTACAGAGGCTCGGGGCATGAGGGAGTATGAGGGTGAGTACAGAGGCAAGGGGCATGAGGGATTATGTGGGTGAGTACAGAGGCATGGGGCGTGAGGGATTATGAGGGTGAGTACAGAGGCATGGGGCATGAGGGATTATGGGGGTGAGTACAGAGGCATGGGGTATGAGGGATTTTGGGGGTGAGTACAGAGTCATTGGGCGTATTTGAGGCTATAAAGGGCCATGGCAATGAGTAGGGCATAGAGGTTACGAAGGGTTTTGAGGTGTGGATACGGGACCGTTGGTTGGTACAGAGGGACATGGGGATGTGGGTAGGATGAAGGAGGGGTGAGGGTTGGAGGCCTGTTTTTTAGTGTTCTTGCATCTGTCCCAATGAGTGAAAGTTGAGAATCTTTGACAGTTAGTCATTTTTTTCTTGTAATACTTAAGTCCTGAATGCCCAATGAATATGATGAAAATTAATTGCTTTTTCCCCTTGTAATTCCAGCCATTTTGCCAAGACCACCTTCCGTGCATCTCCATTATGTACTTCCTGAGAAAGATTTCCAGCAGACGGATAGCTCGCTGCTTTGTGTGTCAAGAGATTTTTACCCGGAGAATATATCGGTGTCTTGGTATGAAGGGGGCAGAGAGACATTCTCAGGCATCACACACTTACGTAGACTGGTGGATTCAAATGACCGTTACACTATGATTAGTAAATTGACAATTTCAACATCTCAATGGCTCAGTGGTTCTCGTTACTCTTGTATTGTTTCACATGAAGCCTTGCCTTCTCCACTCATCAGACAGATCAGTAAAAATGGTATGTCCATTGAACAGCATGTTTCCAGATCCTTTGTAGAACCATTATTGATTGCTGGCTTCTGATTAAGTCTCACCACTTTAACAGAACTTAGCCAATGTGTCTACCACCACCATTCGTGTAGGGTTGTTACTGTATGTTTGAATGTTTCTTAATGCAATCTCTCAGACATCCAGAGTACAAAACGGTTCTAATTTAGATAATGTAATTTCACTCAAGTATCCAACCTGCAACAGTTTTGAAAAGGAGGAAGGATGATGGGGGTTAATACATTCCCTGAATTTAGTAGATGAACCCAACTAATCAAACTGATTGATTGAAAGTTTATCTCTTTCCAGAAATACTCTTTATCTTCTTTTGACTTTTACTCACTTGAATTACTTTTTGTGATAGCTTAAAATATTTCTCAGTTCTTTTATGCTTTTGGTTGAAAAGGTTTTGCGTGACTTCCCTTCTTTGTAACTTGTGTTCCCTAATAATTCTTAATGGCTCTTCAGCAACTACAACATTTGAAGTTGGTCACTGGAAAGTTGCTTTTATTTGTTCCTGGGTGTGGGTGTTACCAGGAAGGTCAACATTTGTTGCCCATTTCTAGCTGTCCTTGAGAAGGTGATGACGAATTGCATTTTTACATGGCTGTAGTTCACATAGTGTGGATGCAGCCACAGTGTTATAAGGAAGAGAGCTCCAGGTTTTTGACCAAGTGACAGTGAAGGGATGGTGATATAGTTTTAAGTCAGGTTGGTGTGTGGTTCAGAGGGAATTAGTAGGCAGTGGTGTTCCCAAACATCCACTGCTATTGTCCTTTTAGGGAATGTCAGTGATAAGGTTGAGGGCAAGTGGGATTTACCGACAAAAGGATACATAATGCAAACAGCCAAAGGGAGTGGAAAATAGGATAAATAAAGATAATCTCTCCTGTTTTACACCCTATCAGACACCTTCCCCTTTGTTCCATTTCCCACTCTCCACCAACTGCACTTACTTTAAATTCATTGTACATTTCCAAAATCTCTCAAATCTGCTAAAAAAACCATCAAGCTAAACATTCACTCTGTTTCTCTCTCCAGGGTGCTGCAAGACCTGTTGAGAATCTCTAGTGTTTTATATTTTCATTTCAGAAATTGATTATCTTTTTTAAGACCAATTTTGTGCATCAGGTATTCTAGGGACGAGTTCTGTAGACTTTCCATTGTGTGGCAAATACAACATAAGTTGTGTGAATTGAATTATCCCTTACTGATATACAGAGTCATACAGCACGGTATTCTTTGGTCTAACCAGCCCGTGCCAAACATAATTCCAATCTGAACTAGTCCCATATGCCTGCTCCTGGCCCATATCCCTTCAAACCTTTCTTATTCATGTACTTTTCTAAATGTCTTTTGAATGTTGTAACAGTGCCCACATCAGCCACTTCCTCCAAATGTTTGCTCCACTTGCGAACAACCCTCTGTGTAAAAAAATTGCCCCCATGTCTTTTTTAAATCTCTCTCCTCTCAGCTTAAAAATATGACCCCTAGTCTTGAAATCCCCCACCACAGGGAAAAGACAACAATTTTTAACCCTATTATAATCCACATGATTTTATAAACCTCTATAGGATACCCTCAAGCTTCTACGCTCCATTGAGAAAAGTCCCAGCCTATTCAATCCCTCCTTATAACTCAAACCCTCCATTCCGGTCAACGTCCTGGTAAATCTTTTCTGAACCCTCTCCAGCTCAATAATATCCTTCCCATAACTGGGCAACCAAAACTGGATGCAGTGCTCCAGAAGTGATCTCACCAATGTCCTGTACAACCTCAATGTAACTTTTCAACCCCTATATAAGTTAAAACATTAATGCAGTGTTCAAGCTTTAAGGTATACCTGATTAGTTATCAATGTTAAACATTGCTTTTATCTTTTTTATTATAAAATGCTTTTAAGGAACATTGGGGTCAAGTGTCCGTTAAACGTTCAGTTTTGCTTATGGTTTTCACAACAAAAGCTGAGGTTTTTGTTTTTAGCTGTCCTGTTATATTACAAAGTGAATACATCACACAACAGACCTGGAGTTCAAAGGGAAGTGCTGTTTTCCAATTCTCAGTGAAGAAGTAAAAATGAACCAACTTAATCCACAGTTGTTATCTATACCTCAAGTGAATGTCCATTTGGAAGTTATTAATAAACATTTGTTCTGAAGTTGTTATTTGTTCCAATACTTGACATTATTTCAGCTTCAATCATCAAGATCTATCTTATTAAAATACTGGATCATTGAGGTGTGGATTGAATTACTGGAGAGCTCTTCCTCAGTCAAAAAGAGACCACTGTTGGTTTGGTTGTGTTGTAGAAATATAGACCACCGGATCATCACTGTGGTTTGTTCTTTGTGCTGAATACAGCTGATATTACCCCTTTGTACTTCGCATGCTTGTCTCAAACCAGTGCCTCCCCCAGGTTGCAGTGGGCATTGCTGTGGGGAAACATGATTTGTGTTACCTTAAATATGTCAAGTAATATATTGACAGGACCATCTGAAAGCTTCCCTATAATTTTAGATTTATGTATAAAATGACCAAAACGTTAAGACCAAAATAATCTTATAATTACATGACTAGCCATATGTTAATATACTCTTAAGTCATTTTAATTTTAAAATACAACATTTTTATAGAGTCATACAGTCATAGAGCCATACAGTATGGAAACAGACCTTTCGGTCCAACCATGCCAGCTATAATCCCAAACTAAACTAATCCCACCTGCCTGCTCCTGGACCATATCCCTCCAAACTTTTCCTATTCACGTACTTATCCAAATGTCTTTTAAATGTTGTAACTGTACCCACATCCACCACTTCCTCAGGAAGTTCATTCCACACACAAACCACTCTCTTCGTGGAAGGTTTGCCCCTTATTTCTTTTTAAAATCTCCCTCCTTTGTTTCAATATTTTTCATTCCAGATACTCAGCTCACATCTATGTGCTATATAACTCTTAGAATAATATGGAGCAAGAGTTCCATGCAAAACATTTCTAATTATTTTCTCAATTAATTCAGTTAGGAGGCCGTTGGAAGATTATTTCTTGTGTTTGAGATTAGTCTGAAATATTGACAAAAGAAATTGCTATTCTGTCAAATAGTGAAAAATGAGCTGTTAGGGATTATAACAATGTCATCCATTAGTACATTGACATCAATTCAAGTAAATTTTAATAACATCAGAATTATGGAGGTTTTATCATTTATCATTTGGAAGTTAGAAGTCAGAGCTGGAAAACATTTTATGGTTACTTTTTCTCAAATCCGTACCAGTAAGTTTTCATCATCCTCAATGGTTTATACAGAATAAGGGAAGTCAATGACTGTGTCTTGGTAGGAGGAGAATGAGCTAAAGGTCTTACCTCTTTCCATTTTATCTCCCCTGCTTAATTTCTAATTCACCAATGAGGTTAAAACTGCAAAGTCTATTTACCAGACATAGTCTAAGCTTCTGTAATAGTGCTCACCATCTTATATTGTGTCTGCGATGATAATCTTTAGCAGTTTATAAATCATTGAATGTTTTGCTGCTGTTAGAGTAATCAGCAGGTATCAGATTGGCGCAAAGTTTCACTTTGGAAATGTAGTTCCAAACTCCATAGTCCTATTACAGTTCTGGGTGTTTAATTTATTTTGCTGTTATAAGTTATTGATAATATTTTACAAAGAAAATCACTGCTCTCTGCCTTCATTTAACATATTCAAAACGTATTTGGTCAGGTGCATGTGATAAAACATTCATTGAATCTTTAGTCTAATAATCTGTTCCTGTCTTTGCTGTAGATGGTTTCATTCAGAAGCCTGTGATCCACCTGATCGCTCCTCTGTCTGATGCTGCCTCTGCAGGGCAGAACGTTACTATGACTTGCTTGGTGTCAGACTTTTACCCTGCCGATATTTCTGTGACTTGGAGAGATGAGAATGGCCCAGTGGACACGGGAGTGACCCAGTTTGCGGTGGCTTTGGGCAGTACCAGTACTTACCGAACAGTGAGTCAGTTGACCGTGCCGACAACAGAGTGGGAGAGTAACCGTACTTACTGGTGTGAAGTGAAACATGTGTCCCTGGGACAGGCACTGCAGAGAGCTGTCACTAAGGATCTGCACAACGTCTACATTGGTGAGCTGGTGTGGAGGTGCTTTGGAAGTGCCGAGGGCTCAGTGCATGTGGTATGCATGGTGCATGTGGATGAGTGTTTGCAGGGGTGTACGTGGGGAGTGTGGAAGAGCATACGTGTGGAATTGCGCTCCATGAGTCTCGGTCAGATGTGGTTTTGTGGAAGGGAGTTGTTTTTTCATCTATGGTTGGACTGTCAGTTTGGTGCTTTTGAGGTGTGGGTGAGTTGCTGGGGTTGTTGTGTGGTACGCAAGTGCGTACACACTGGTTTATGTTTGTGAGGGCTTACACAGTGTTTGTCAGTAACCTCTTGACACTATCCCGAAGAACATTCTGACCATGTGCAGAGATCCATGGTTTCAGAGGTAGCATTTTTCTGAGGTGTAGACTGTTAAATCTGAAAACAATATGCACAGCAGAACATCCATGGCACCACTACTGGGTTTGAATTGCATTCATTTACACAGAGAAGCATTTACAAGTGAATTGCAATGTGCAGAGACCCAGTGCCAATGGATCAGCACTGAATTAAGAACTGTGCAAAGTGTGGGAAATCTGCTTCCTTATTCTGAACACCGTAGATTTCCAGCATTGATTGATTGCTCAAGGTGAGGTTAAGGTGCACATGCAGCACGCCAACCAAAGAAAAACTTATTTCTAAATAAGGAATACATATTCCATTGGCAGATTCTCCCAATTCTTCAACAATGGATGTTCACTGTCTTGATTAGTGTTAACTCACAAGTGATGTTAAACTATATTTGGTTTTGAGATCTGATTGAAAAACAATGTTATGAGTGAAATCAGTGTTGGAAGGGAAGGTGAAGACCCCAGCATTGTACAACATCCATACTGGGACCTGACTCACATGCCACATGTTGAGATTGCTTGCTGATGGTAACTTCTTCCTGTGGCTGTTTACTTTCCCCCCAAGGTACTGAGCTCCAAGTTACATGCTCTGAGGGTTGGCTTTCAGAATGGGTTTGTATATAAGTCTGCAAAGTTCCATGATGTGAGTTCAAAACTGGAATTTGGGGCAGCATATTGGTTCAGTGATTAGCACTGCTGCCTCACAGCACCAGGGACAAAGTTTGAGATCACGGAGATGTATCATCGTAGAATCCCTACAGTGTGGAAGCAGGTCATTCGGCCCATCGAGTCCATACCAACCCTCCGAAGAGCATCCCAACCAGATTCACTCCCTGCACTATCCCTGTAACCCCTTATTTACCATGGCCAATCCATCCTAACCTGCACGTTGTTGGACAGTGGAAGGAAACCAGAGCCCCGAAGGAAATCCATGCTGACATGGAGAGAATGTGCAAACTCCACACAGACAGTTGCCTGAGAGTGGAATTGAACCCAGGTCCCTGGTCCTGTGAGGCAGCACTGCTAACCACTGAGCCACTGTGCTGCCCCAAATTCCACAGTTTTGAACAAATGAAACAAAACTTCACTATATAAATTATGACACTAGAACTATACATAGATATTTACCTTATAATCTACAATCCAGATTTAACATGAGGTAACTATGTGTATACAGACAAACACCTGTTAAATATCCCAAAGACCACATCAAGTAGCCAATGTTGTCATGGCAGCAATCAAGATGGCAACAGGATTTCTCAGGAATTGCTTCCCACCCGACCATCAGATGTTAGTACAACCATAGATCTCCATAGAATCACATTAAAAACTTGTTTCCTTTACAAATGGTTTCAATTCTTTACATTGGAGGTCCTAACTTTGAAGCTCTTTCTAAAATTACCCGGTTAGATACTGCCTGGACAACTCCTGATGTCCTAACCATTCAATCCCTTCTCCTACATTTCACCAGGTTCTCAAGGTCACACTATGGAATCTGCTTGTGAGTACGATTCTAACTCTTGTGCAGACAGTTACGTTGACTAAGCTGAAACAACCCTTTGTTTATCTGAGCTCCAATCATTCTCAACTGTATCAAACTTGACAGAGATAGTAGGAACTGCAGATGCTGGTGAATCCGAGACAACAAGGTGCAGGGCTGGATGAACACAGCAGGCCAAGCAACATCATAGGAGCAGAGAGGCTGACGTTTCGGGCCTAGACCCTTCATCAGAAAAAGATTTCACAAGTTTCAAAATCTCCCCTCCCCCTACCGCATCCCAAAACCAGTCCAGCTCGTCCCCGCCTTCCTAACCTGTTCTTCCTCCCACCTATCCCCTCCTCCCACCTCAAGCTGCACCTCCATCTCCTACCGACTAACCTCATCCCGCCCCCTTGACCTGTCCGTCCTCCCTGGACTGACCTATCCCCTCCCTAACTCCCCACCTACACTCACCTTTACTGGCCCCATCCCTGTCTCTTCGACCTGTTTGTTTCCTCTCCACCTATCCTCTCCTCTATCCATCTTCTATCCGCCTCCCGCTCTCTCCTTATTTATTTCGGAACCCCCTTCCCCTCCCCCTTTTCTGATGAAGGGTCTAGGCCCGAAACGTCAGCCTCTCTGCTCCTATGATGCTGCTTGGCCTGCTGTGTTCATCCAGCCCTGCACCTTGTTGTCTGTGAAGGTAGAAGTCTTCTGCTTTGATCTCCTCTGACCAGACAACTGAAACTGACTGTTCAATGACCCTTGAACTGTGTCAAACGACCAATTGAAAATATTGCAACAAGACCTTGATCCTAGGCAGGATCAAATATAGTAACTGTTGGAACATCACATTGAAAGTAACAATGAGAACATCCTTTATCTACGTTATAATTTTCACCAAACCTATTCTTCACAGCTGTCACCTTCAGAACATAGGCAGAGACACAAAAAAATGGGTTTTATTTCACAAACCCCATGGCGAACATGTCTGAAACTGAGCTCTGATGAATAGGCTCTGGATGTAAGACATTTGGAGCTTTGTTGTTGGGGATTTTGTCCTTCCACTTGCAGGAGGACCTTAGACAATTAATAGCTTTGATATGGAAGTGCCGCTGTTGGACTGGGGTGGACAAAATCAGAAGCTGCACAACACCAGATAATAGTCCAACAGTTTATTTGAAATTACAAGCTTTTGGAACACTGCTCCTTCATCAGGTGACGCTCCGAAAGCTTGTGATTTCGAATAAATCTGTTACGACACGGTGGCACAGTGGTTAGCACTGCTGCCTCACAGCGCCAGGAACCTGGGTTCGATTCCAGCCTCGGGCGACTGTCTGTGTGGAGTTTGCACGTTCTCCCCGTGTCTGTGTGGGTTTCCTCCGGGTGCTTCGGTTTCCTCCCACAGTCCGAAGATGTGCAGGTTAGGCGGATTGGCCATGCTAAATTGTCCGTAGTGTTCAGGGAGGTAGAGGGTGCATGTTAGGTGGGTCATAGTGGGATGGATCTGGGTGGGATGCTCTGAGGTTTGGTGTGGACTTGTTGGGCTGAAGGGCCTGTTTCCACACTGTAGGGATTCTGATTCTGGTGTCATGTGACTTCTGAGTAAATTGTTTTGTGCAATTTGGGTAGGTTATCCCACCTCCCAAGTGATGCAAGAATCATTGCCTGGAGAATGTTGAGATGTCTACATCTAGGGGGCATGCATTTAAGGTGAGAGGAGGAAAGTTCAAAGGAGATGTGAGGGGTAGGTTTTTTACACAGAGAGTCTGGAACGCGCTGCCAGGGGTGGTGGTGGAGGCAGATACAATAGGGGCATTTAGATAACCACATGAATATGCAAGGAACGGAGGGATATGAACCACGGACATTCAGAAGGGATTAGTTTAATTTGGCGCCATGTTCGGCACCGCATCGTGGGCCGATGGGTCCATTCCTGTGCTGTACTGTTCTATGTTCTATCTGTTCAGTGATCTTTGTAAGTGCCTTGAACCTTTGCAGATTGAAGAAGTTGCCATCCGTCCTGAACCGAGAATGTGGGGATCGGAAATGTCAGAATGGCCAAAACGAGGTGGGCAGACAGAATCGGAGCTATCACACGTCTTTCTTGGTGATGTTGGTGACAGGAAAGACATCTGATAAGGCACCATTCTGCACCACATCAGCCTTTGTGCCATCATGAAAGATCTCTGCACTACTCCTCATTCCTCTGTCATGATTCACGAATGATCCACTGTCTCCTTTATCTGTAATTAGTGAAATCCAGTGGAGTCCCAGCGGGGGCGTCGGTTATGTTGTGGATTCTTGCGGCTGTGGGCACTCTGATTTTAGTTATTCTCGCTGTTACCCTCATCTACAAGAAAGCCACTTCTTCCTCCCGCACTGGGACCGGTAAGATTTTTACTTCTCTTCCCTCTCAAATAATAAACATGTCTCTGGAACTTTCCCTTTGAATAATGCCCATCGGTGTAGATGGTTTTATCACCTGGATGTGAAACCTCACTTGGACTGAGTGCTGAGTGGAATATTAGGAGCGGAGGGCAACGCATCTGCAGTAGAACTCATCAGGTTTTTCCTTCCATGTAGATCGATGAATAGAAAATGGGGCAAGTTCTGTACAAATCACAGCACCTAATTGGACAATCAGCAAGTGAGTTTGTAGAATAGAATGATAGAACAGTGTGGAAACAGGCCATTTGGCCTATTAAGCCCACACCAACCTCGATTAAGCTATAGAGTTGGATGATCAGCCATGATGGAGTAGGGTCAAAGGGTCTCCTCCTATCCCACCCAACAATACCCCCCAGCCACATCCCTGTAACCCTGCATTTCCCATGGCTAACCCACCTAGCCCGCACATTCCTGGACACTATGGGCAATTTCCCATGGCCAATCCACCCTAACCTGCACATTTTTGGACTGTGGGAGGAAACCAGGGCACCCAGAGGAAACCCGTTCAGACATTGGGGAAGAATACACAAACTCCACATGGTCAGTTGCCCAAGTCTGGAATCGAACCCAGGTCCCTGGCACTGTGAGGTAGCAGTGCTAACCATCGTGTTACCCTGATTAAAGTTGTTTAAAGAGGTTAATGCAGATCCCACTGTTTTCATGTTTAATCCTTTGGATGCCATTATGCTGATGTAAATTCTGGGATTAGCATCCACAGAATATGACAGAAGGAATTCTGATCCCATGGCTAAATTTTGGTTTTGTGGTCAGGATCAAATCTGGGTTCCAACGCTCCATGTGTAAGTTAGAGCCAGCCCCACATGATCTTCCAAAGCAGAGCCAGTCAGTGGCCAGGCAATGTGCTCTGTGTTCCATTCAAGGATGGTGAGTGATTTCCTGAAACTGGAGAACTAATAGGATGGCTAAGGTGAGAAAGAAAAATAAAATAATTCATTATCATGTGCAGTTATGCACTTGGTAAAATCAGGGGAATAAAGCCTGACACAGCCCTTGGACTTGGAGATGTGTTCCCTGAACTCTTAAAAAAAATTGCAGATGCATTAGTTATAATCTTTCAAAATTCCCTGGATTCTGGGAAGGTCTCAGTGTGTTGGAAAACTGTAACACAACAGTTGTATTCCAAAAAGCAGGGAACCAAGGCAACTTAGCCTCACATCCGTCATTGGAAAAAATGCTGAAATTCTCATTAAGGACTTCACCTGATGAAGAAGCAGCGCTCCGAAAGCTTGTGATTTCAAATAAACTTGTTGGACGACAACCTGGTGTCATGTGACTTCTGACTTAGAAAATCATTATACAATCAAACCATGTCTTTGTGGTTTAATGAAAAAAAAGTCAGGTTTTACAAATGTATTAGAATACTTTGAAGATATAACAAGCAGAACGGATAATGGGCACCCCGTAGATGTAGTGTAATTGGATTTCCAAAAGGCACACCGTAAGGTCACACATAAAGGGATATTGCACAAGGTGTGTTGGGGAAAATGTATCAGCATGGAAACAGAATTGGTTAATTACCAGAAAACAGACAGTCAGGGCAGATGGCTCATACTTAGACTGGCAAACTGTAAGCAATGCATTGCTGCAGGGATCAGTGCTGGAGTTTCAACTGGTTATGGTGTAATTTAATGAGAAGGATGTAGGGACTGACAGTAATGCACCACAGTTACTGGTGAGTAAAAGTAAGTGGGAAAGGAAGTTGTGAGGAGGATGCAAAAGGATTTAAATAAAGTGAGGGGGCAAAAAAATGGCTGATGGAATATGATTTGGGGTGGCACTGTGGCTCAGTGGTTAGCGCTGCTGCCTCACAGCACCAGGGACCCGGGTTTGATTCCACTCTCAGGCGACTGTCTGTGTAGAGTTTGCACATTCTCCCCGTGTCTGTGTGGGTTTCCTCTGGGTGCTCCGATTTTCTCCCACAGTCCAAAGATGTGCAGGTTAGGGTGGATTGGCCATGGGAAATGCAGGGTTATGGGGATAGAATGGGATGCTCTTCAGGGGGTCGATGTGGACTCGATGGGCTGAGTAGCTTACTTCCACACTGTAAGGATTCTATAATGAGGGAAAATATGAGGTTATTCACTTTGACACAAAGAGCAGCGTATTACATAAATGGAGAGAGACTGCATATTGCTGCAGAACAGAAGGATCTGGGAGACCTGGTACACAATTGACAAAAGTCAGCGTCTAGATACAATAAGTGGTTAGGAAGGGCATGTTGGCCTTTATTGCAAGGAAGGTGGTGTCTAACTTTAAGGAAACCTTGCTCCAATGCAGCAGGTAATTGGTGTGACTACACCTAGAGTATTGGTACAGTTTTGGTTTCTTTATTTAAATGTGGGGAGGATATTGGATGTGGTTTACTGAAGCCCATTTGGTTGTTTCCTGGGATGAAGGGTAGCATTGTGAGGAAAGACTGAGTAGATTTGGTCTATGCCAATTGGAGTCCTCTGGTATTCCTCTGAGGGAAGAGTCTAGAAAGACAGGGTGATGGGGAGGTGGGGGGTCATAGTTTCAGAATCAGGGGTTGCCCATTGAAGGTGAAGATTAGGAAGGAGACCCTTCTCTCAGAGGGTCACGACTCTCACAGCCTTTCAGTAGAGAACGAGATGTGGAACAGAATCAGCACTGAGGGACACAGAGTTATTGGGGAGTCAGTTCTTATTGGAAAGTAGATTGGAAAGTAGAGTTGAGACCAAGATCAGATCAGTCAGGGACAACAAGGTGCAGGGCTGGATGAACACAGCAGGCCAAG